TTATTAGCATTTTTAGTGTTAATAACTAAAGACAAAACAAGAAAAAAAATAAAAATAAATAAATATGAAGAGATATACCTCTGATGCCGTGGATCGAAGTCGAGTCGAAGAGGAGGGTGATCTGATCTTTGTGTCGAAGTCGAAGCCGAGGGTCGAAGTCGATATCTGGGTCGAAGTCGAAGACGAGGGTCGAATCTCTGGGTCGAGGTCGAAGTCGAAGACGAGGGTGAATGAGGGTCGAAGTTGATCTCTGTTTCGAAGTCGCAGACGTAGGTGAGGGTTGAAGATGAGGGTGAGGGTCGAAGTCGATCTATGTTTCGAAGTCGCAGAAGAAGGTGATGGAGATGGTCGAAGTCGCCTCTTTCTCTTTGCTTCGATGAGATTAGGGCAAAACAGTGATGAGATTAGGGCATTCGTATACGGTATACACATTTTTTCTTTTTTTTTTAAATTTTTTTTCTTAATATTGCTCCGGTACCCCTCAATTTTTCAAAAAATTTGATTTCTGCCCCCGCCGTACCCAAAACGCACCAAAGGCATACCCATGTCGTACCCGAGCCGTACCCAACTGAGACAGAAGTACCCGACTACTTTTTGCCGTGCCCAGTACGCGTGCAGCCGTACCGGTACGCGCACCCGCACCCGGTAAGTACCCGATGCGTGTACGGCACTATTTTTGGAGTAACCGTGCTTCATAGATCGTGGGTATGGTTGCTCCTAACTTTCATAGTTTTCCTTGTCCACACTTGTCGCTTCATCATTTGGATCATCAGGAAAGTGTGCAAATGCATAAACAGGAGAAACACAAATGAGATTGAAGGTGGTCACCGACAAGGGCAAGTTCAAGTTTGAAATCTCAACATCTTTTAGTTACTACATATTGTATGTACTATACTAGTATTAAGATAAATAACCCATCAGATCTCTATTAATCGGTTTAGTTTTTGTCTTTTCCAATAGGAAAATACATCTGCATGGACAGCCACAAGTGAGATGGGAGAGACTATGTAACGCCCCGATATTTTATTCCTATTATAATTACAAATCCTTTATAATTATTCTCATTTTACATTACAAGGAGGAGCACCAAAGAAATATATGGAACATATCAATCTGAAATCTGAAAGGTACTTTTCTTCCTCCTTGAGCTTGTCAAAAGTGTTACATGTTTGCATTACATTTGGATCTTTCTCAAAACAAAATAAATACAAAGTAGTTCAAAGAGTAAGAGAAATACAAATAAAAATATCCTGATGGCTTACATCTTTCAAGGCAATGGCCTTAATTACACAAAATCAAGAAACACTAACTCGAGACAAATAAGCTCTGCAGCTGTGGCTCATAAACAACAAAAGAGCCTTAGTGCTCCTTTCAAAAGATATCTACTATTCTTCACTTGGGTGAAGGCACATCACCAATCCCTAAAATGTTGTTATAATAGGAATGAGTAATATTGACTAGTAGAAATATTTTTAATAGAATATATAAACGTTTGATATAAATATATGATCATGTTATGCACATGTTATGACAAAATCCATGATTTTTTTTTTTCCTTTTTTAAAGTGATGATGCTCAATGCACTTTTGTAGTATCAAACTCAAGATCAACCATGGGTGGGTAAATATATATACAAATATATATTTATATATATATATATATATATTTTAAAGTCAATTACATACAAATATATACATATATTTTATATCAAAATTATTCTCACATTTACCAGCTCACAATACAGCAGGACGATGGGCACCTAAAACGTATATCTTTTCCACATTTGCTGGCTCACAATATGGTAGGGCCAGTGGACGTCCAAAAACATTTCCTACATTCATCCGGCATCAAGCACAAGATATGATAATTGGGCACCTTGACTCCTTGCACGGGTACCAATACCATACACAACACATTTTCAAAACCGACCCACTACCCGAATTACTATGCTGTTTTACCCTCCTTCCAATATTCCAACATCCAAAGTAATAAAATAATATGAGTTCAAAATCATGAAATGCATTGCAATGCATGAGTTTTGCAAGATACAACTATTATCTAAGGTTCCTTTTATCATTATAAGAAATAAACATTTAAACCCTTACGCTGTATTTGGTTTGGAGATTCAGGAAGGAATTTGAAAAGGGAAAGGAAAAGAGAAAATGTGTGTGAAACTAAGTGAAATGTAAGTATATTTTATTCAAATTTAACCAACATTTTCCTTTTCTCTTTCCCTCCTCCTTTCCCTCCTCAAATCTCCAAATCAAATACAGTGTTAGAGAAAATGATCACATACTTATAGCTTTCAATAAACCCCAATCCCAATGTTCATATCATCTCAAGATTTACAGGTATATCAACGTAGTATCAACTCAATTTCATCGTAAACATCAATTTGTTCTCAAATTCATCTTTTAAAATCAACATTACAGGCTAGGGTTTCATAAAAAAAGTTGAGGGTTTTTCTCATTTCTTTCATAAATCAAAGAATCATGAAACAAATAACCATTTATACACAAGGACATTCAAAACAATTCAAAGAGAAATTCCATATTCAAACATCAACACCATTTAATCCAAGCCATCTATCTCATACATTACTATATCAAAGTTCATAATTAAGTTTTCTTATGTGTCTTTTTAAATTAATAAAATAGATAATCTCTTAATTTAAAAAAATAAAAATATACAATTAAAACTAACACAAACTACAAAATGAAGCAGAATTAAAATTTACTAAATTGTAGAAGTATAGAACAATACAATTTGATTTATAAGTGTCCAAATAGTTTTAAAAATGGTTGTTCTTTGTTTGCCTCACAAATTAGTGAATCATCTGATACAAAATAGGTTCACAATCAAGAATAACATAATTTAACACACTAAAAATAAAAACATTTTATTGTAAAAATAAATAAAGCTATATGATAAATAAAATCAACTTTATTTATAATGCAGGTGTAATTAAGATTTAATCATTGTTAATAAAGTGATTTTGTTTTCTCATTTTATTTAAGTATGTATTTCCTTACACAGAAATTATAGAAAATAGAAAAATAAAAAATAACACACAATTGCTAAGAGAGAAATGTTGTGTTGCTTTAACAAGTTATAAACTTATGCTTCTTTTAACTTTGTGGTAAATGGGTTTTAATTATGCTCAATAGAGACATTCAACTACTCTTACATGTGGCTAAAGTTATTGGTGGCCTTTGTGCTATGTGCTATAAATAAATACTTTTTGAAAATTGGAGATCTTTGTTTGTTAGGGGCTTCAACGTGCCATTGACCAGCGAGGGTGGCTGTATTACTAAACCGTGTTTTTGGTTTGAATTTTCTGAATTAAGTTTTTTGAAAATTCAGTTTTTTAGTTTTCGTATTCTTTTGTTTTTAGTAAATATTTTTTAAATTTTAAATATTTTTTTTACTTTTTTAGATGCACCTTAATTAGATGTATCTAAAAAATAAAAAATTTGTGAAAAAATATTTTAAAAAATTAACAAATACATAAAAATAAAAAAAAATGTACTGAATTGTTGTATTTTTTGGTATTTAGTGAATTTTTAAAAAAAAAATTTACAATTTTTTTACTTTTTAGGTGTATTTATGTTAGGTGTGTCTAAAAAGTAAAAAAATTGCTTAAAATATTAAAAAAATTCAATAAAAACAAAAAAATACGAAAAATAAGAATACAAAATTTTCTAAAAAGTATTTTCTGAAAAATAAAAACAAGCAAGCTAAATATTTTCCCATGACCACGCAGTTGGTGGCCGATGTGGCCTCCAGCTTGCATAAGCAATCTACTGATTTCCATGGCCTTTAAATCTCTAATTGGCATATGTTCTATGATATCCAAAGCCGTGATATCATTTCCATTCACAGCATTCACTTCCACCACAGTTTCTTCCAATAGGTATTTTATGGTCTGCACAAATTAATACAAAGGAATCTATATATGATGTATCTAATTAATTCTAATTATTCTGCTACAAATTATTAGAAGTATTTCTATTGAAATTTTGATTAGAAGTATGTATATAAAGCATGGCGTCTACCATCATTTGTTAAGTAAGGTGTTATTTGATAAAACTCAAAATTAAAAATTGAAAAACATTAAATTAAAGTTTTGAAAATTGAATGTTAAATTTTTTAAAATTACAATGTTATTTGATAAAAATTTAAGTGATGAATTAAAATAAATTATACTTTTTATATAAAATGGATACTATATGCATCCTTTTTGTTACATATAATACAGGGCTGGCCCATGTGCAAGGCTATTAAGATCATTGTCTTGGGTTCGAAAATAGAAAGATCTCCAATTTTCAAAAGGTAATTTATACGTACACAAAATCTACCAATAACTTTAGCCACATGTAAGAATAAGTAGTTGAAAGGCTCTATTGAGCACAATGAAAACCCATTTATTACAAAGTTAAAAGAAGTGCAAGTTTATAACTTAACTTGTTAAAAGCAACACAACTTTTCTCTCTTAGCAATTGTATGTTATTTTTTAATTTTTTATTTCTATAATTTCTATGTAAGGAAATAAATAAATAAATACAACGAGGAAACAAAATTACTTTATTTTATATGAATTTGACATTGATTAAATTTTAATTACACCAGCATTACAAGTAAAGTTTATTTTATTTTATTTATCATATATAGCTTTATTTATTTTTAAATGCAATATTTTTATTTTTAATGTGTTAAATTAAGTTATTCTTGATTGTGAACCTATTTTGCATCAGATGATTCACTAATTTGTGAGGCAAACAAAGAACAACCATTGTTAAAACTATTTGGACTCTTATAAATCAAATCCTAACAAACTAAAAAACTTGGGTGAGGTGTTTTGTAAAGGGTGTTTTTATTCAATAATTTGTTATTTTATTTTTTGTGGATCAGAAAATTAAACAACAATAACAAATAATGATTAAGAAAACTTTTACCTCCACTTGCTTGAGGTTGGTAGCAATGTGCAAATCAATGATGCCATTATCAAGTTTGTCATTTACCCATGTATCCTCAACCGTCCTAAATCTTATCGATAGCTTCAAAACCTCCAAAGATTATATTCCACACACAAGTGCAGAACAGTTTCACCTCCGTCCAACTTGAACTTAGCTACTTCTGGACGTGCCTGAACCAACTCGCTCACCACATCAACTCGGCCTTTCATGGCAGCCAGATGAGGAGGAGTCCTCCCGTCTTCATCGCGCACGAGACGAACACTAGGGTTTGCCATTAACAACACCTTCACTATCTCGATGTACCCATTTGCAGAGGCCAAGTGAAGAGGCGATCGGCCCTTTGAATCTAAATCAGAGACCAAGTCTTTCTTGAGAGTCACAAGAGCTTTTGCAAAATCCAAATGACCTTGCATAGCAGCAATGTGAAGAGGATTCTCATCGAAACAAGTGAGTGAAGATCGGGACGCAGTGATTCAATCAACTTCTTCAAGGACTCAGTATTCCCACTCACTGATGCTTCATAAAGCATATTCTCTCTCATACCTATCTCAGTCTCATGAGTTCCTTCCATTTCTGGCACTTGGTGCTTGCCTTGGTGATAGAAAGTTGAAAACAGTATCCACTCTCTTGTGGCTTTGCTTGCTTGCTACAACGTTTTGCACTCAAACTCTACTTTTGTCTCTGTATACCTTCATTCTTCATGTGGATCCGTCAAATTATACAACCAATATTATTGCGGATTTTTTTTATTTTTTTGTTATAGGAAAATCCTCCTACTCTCCCGCAGGTTCAGGGCAGCGCTCCTTGCAGAGATCACCAAGGTGTCCTGTTGTTCGTTCTGAGATAAGAGACTATAACCTGAGAACTTGTCCCGACCTCCCAAGACAAGCTCCGTTTAAGTTAGAACTCAAACAACGGGAGAGTTTTGGGCCCACATCAAGTGTTATGGTAGCAACAACTTGAGACTAACCTCCTAACTAACTGCTCCATGCCCAGAAGATTGGCACAAGAGATTTTAAACTTAGTATCTAGGGTCTTCACCCCCAAACCTTTACTAAGTTGCCAACCATCCTCGGTTATTATTGCAGATTTTGAATTCCACCCTGCAGCAAGATTTCAGTATCAGGATTGGATTGCATTCTGCACCACTTGTTTATTACCGAGGAAATAAAGTCCGCAGCCGCAGCTAAGGCTGCAGTCCTTCCTATAAACAAAGAACACAGAGGCAGTTACGTTGTAACACTACATTTTAGGAAAAATAATTGAGAGCACTAAGTGGCCTTCTAACAGAGCCATTAATGATTTGGCAATGAACCGCACTCACTGTCTATGCTTTATTTTATTTTATTTTGATATTTTTTAGTGGTATAAATTATTATTGATATTTTAGTTTGTTAGTGAGATATGATTAGGCAGAAATTTCTGTGGTACATGAAAGTGGTTTTGATATACCATATATGAGTAAATTTAAACCATTAAATCTAAAAGTAAATAAATCTAACCATTGGTAATGATTAAAATCAGGTTAAGATATCTAGATAGTTTTGTAAAAAACAAGATAGTATTCAATGGTTTTGAAGCCAAAAAATGAGTTTTCAACTTATCACAATAACTAAGTGCACTACTATTTGATATAATTATACTTACTATTTCAAATAACTATACTTACTATTTAAGTATTAACAAAATACACTTACCCTGCTCTTCAGGTAACAGGTAAATTTTTTTTAAAAAAAATTATAATAAATTTAAAAAACCTTTAAAATAAATATGAAATCTATAAAATAGAATATAAGAAAGAAATATACAAAATAAATATGAATTTTATACATTTTATTATAATCTTTTACATTTTATGAAATATGATTTATTTATTTATCTACTTAATGACAATAAATTTTATATAATTTAAATTTTTCTTAAGTTTTAACATACATTTTAAGAAATACTTAAATTTTTAAATAATATCAATTGTAATTATTAAACGAACTTAATTGATTATCATTCAATATATTTAATTTTAAGTACTGAATTAAGTTTTCAAATACTTCATAGATCATAATCAAATAATATTTAACACCACAATTTAATCTTAAAAAAACCCCACAAAGATCATAATTTTATTAAGGTACGTAGTATAAAATACTTCATAGATCATAATTTTATTAAGGTACGTAGTATAAAATTTCACGTAGTATAAAATTTCCTTAGTTTAGTTTAGGGGAAAAAAAGTAAAATTAACCTATTTTTTAAGGGGAAATAAAAAAATTAGTGGATGTTTAGAATTTTTTATTTTATTAAATTAATCAGAGCGGGACCCAAAAAATTGACGCGTAATTCCAAAGTGTATTTGGGATTGTTTTCGGAACTTTCCTCGGTGGATTTGTCTGTCTGTAGAGATTGATTGTGAAAGTAGTTTATTTTTCTTGACGATCGAAGGCCCGAAGCAAACCCAAGGTTCACATTTCGATCGATCGAGAGAGATTTGTCGGAATTCAACGTGATCTTTATTGATCGATCAACATGAGTTTTCTATTCGGCAAGAGGAAGACACCTGCAGGTTCACATTTCGATCTTGTTTGAATTTTGTTGCTTGGGTTATCACTCGCTGACAAATCTAATGATTTAGTTCGCTTGAAATGTTCTGTATATCCTGGAATTGTAAACAAATAGGTCTCAAATTTTGGTTTTATTTGTTTTAAGATGGTCCTTCTGATCGCGATCGTAGAGGGCGTATGTAATCTCGAGTTAGGGTTTTTATTGTTTATCATTTCACTGAATTCTTGCTTCTCAATTTTGCTAATTGCGCATCAAAATACTAAAATTGATATAACTTGCTTAGGTAGAGTTTGCTTTTGTAATTCATACAAATGGAGTAAGTCCTAAATTGGATCATGTTTTTTAATTCTATGTTGTACTTAATTTAGTTTGTAAAGCTGCAGTGCTGAATTGGCTTTCAGTTTCGATATGTGCCTCTCTGTGTAAAATCAAAACAATTGAGACGAAAATAGAAAAAGAGGGAAAGAAAACCGGGGGCTTGAAACATTTTCTAGGTTCAATTAGTAGAGATGGAGAACCCTTCTAAGCTCTTCACAAGTGAATTACAAATTAAGAAGCACAAATACGGAACACGAATATACGTAAATTTTAAAAAATGTAGGACATGAAACGTTGGAGACACATGAAAAAAATATAATTTTATATATTTATTATGTGTCATATTTTTAAATATTTAAAATATATTTTATGTCAAATATTTAATTTTATCAAATTTATCAACTTCAGGTATGCTATTTTATTAAAAAAATTTAAAATTTTAATTTTTTTTTGAAAAACATAGTCCTTAGCATGTCTCCCGCTTGTTCCCAATGTGTCCTTAGTGTGTCCTCAGTGTGTCTGTAGTGTGTTCCAAGTGTCTGACTCTTTCCAGGGTGTCCGACATTTGTCCAAAACATGTACATGTCGGCCTCTTGTACGTGACTTCCGAGAGTTGTCCGTGCTTTATAGGTATAACTTACAAGATATTTTTCATTGACAATTGACTCTACAAATCACTTGCAAAATAGTAGTCTATCTGATAACAACTTAGGCACTATCTATTACTAGTGCTACAGAAGTACAAGACTTTAACCACTAAATATCTTCTCGAAACTAATTTGAAACTAAATTGTGAATTCTAATACAATGCAAAAATTACTGCAATCTCAATCTCAATTTCATAGTAGTTTGGATACATAACTATTCGAAAAGTATTTGATACTTCTCAAAATTAACATCAAGTATAAGATATGTTTAGGAAGTATTTGATACGTATCTGCGAGCATCCAATGAATGTCAGTATTTGATACAGATACGATATGAATACCGATACGACTCTTTTATAGAAGTATTCATGCTTCATTTTTAATTAGTGTTTTGTTAAATTGACAGTAGTGTTATTTAACCAAAGTTCATTTTTTACTCCTTATTACTTGCCTGCAATCATTGTGTGATGCTTTTTTTGTTTGCAAACATGAACTTTTTGTTACTAGGCATTGCATTTTACATGTAATGCCCTATTAGCATGAAAGACATTGACACGTGAAATTTAATCATCTTGTTCATATCAAAGCCTTACGACCTAGGTACGAATCAGCCTTTTGGGTTTCATTTTTTGAGTTGCATACTTAGGGGTGGTTGGGATGATCTAAATAAGTGTACTTTTTGACTTTTTACGAAAAGATGTGCAGAAAAGTAGAGAGGTGATGTGATGAAAAAAAGATAAAAAGTGTGTACTTATTAATACACCCCAAACAAGGCCTTAATATATACTAGTGTTACTAGAAAACACTGATACCCTAATGATTGCATTTTGGAACGCACTTTCTGAAATGTGGTATACTTGCATTCTAAAGTGGTAAATTCAACAATTTGAAAAGTTTTTTTTTTTGTTTTTTTTCCAATATACTTTCTTTTATCAAATATAATGATACAAAATATAAAAAATGGGTTATAATGCTCATATAAATGTGTTGTTACAATATTAAAGTAACCTAAAAGCTAAAAAGTCACTAAAAAATCCAAAAAGCCAACAAATACCAAAGAGTCAAAGATTTATTTCCATTTACTCTACTTTTTGCACATCTTTTCATAAAAAAAAAAGTCATCCCAAACATATTGATTTTTTTCATCTCATATTTTAACTAAAAAACAAAAAAATCATTAAAAAAGCATGTTCTTAAACGAGGCCTTAAAATAAATAAGCATGTTCCTAAACGAGGCCTTGGATATCTATTTGTTAAAAAAAAAAAACTCGACTGAAAGTACTTTAAATTCTTATAGCGTAAACTACACAAGTCTACCTATGTTGTACCACAATTTAGAGCAAATGGTGTACCATGTTCCCATTTCATGTACCAAAATGATCCATATTCCAAATAACATAGTCATATACCTGTGGAGCATGGCATGCACACGTCACTTAATTGGAATACTATTGGGGTTTTACCTTGGGCTGTCTTTCTGCGTAAGGGTTTAAATTTTTATTTCTTATAATGATAAAAGGTACCTTAGGGAATAGTTATATCTTGCAAAACTCATGCATTGCATGGCATTTCATGATTTTGAACTCATATTGTTTCATTACTTTGGATGTTGGAATATTGGAAAGAGCGTAAATAGCATAGTAATTCAGGAAGTGAGTCGGTTTTGGAAATGTGTTGTGTATGGTATTGGTACCTGTGTGAGGAGTCAAGATGTCCAATTATCCTGTCTTGTTCTTGATGCTAGACGAATGTAGGAAATGTTTTTGGACGTCCACTGGCCCTACCGTATTGTGAGCCAACAAATGTGGAAAATATATACGTTTTTGGTGCCCATCGCCTTGCTGTATTGTGAGTCGGTAAATGTGAGAATAATTTTGATATAATATATATATATATATATATATTTATATGTAACTGACTTGTGCATTAGAATTCTATGGCGTATTTACCACCCTATGGTTGATCTTGAGTTTGATACTACAGAAGCGCATTGAGCATCATCACTTTAAAAAAAGGGGGAAAAAATCATGGATTTTGTCATAACATGTGCATAACATGGTCATATTTATATCAAACATTTATATATTCTGTTAAAAGTATTTCTACTGGGCTATATTACTCATTCCTATTATAACAACATTTTAGGGATTGGTGATATGCCTCCAACCAAGTAAAGGATAGTGGATATCTTTTAAAAGGAGCACTAAAGCTCTTTTGTTGTTTATGAGCTACAGCTATGGAGCTTATTTGTCTTGAGTTAGTGTTTCCCAATTTTGTGCAATTAAGGCCATAGCCTTGAAAGATGTAAGCCATCAGGGTATTTTTATTTGCATTTCTCTTACTCTTTGAACTACTTGTGTATTTATTTTGTTTTGTGGAAAGATCCGAATGTAATGTGAACATGTATCACTTTTGAGAAGTTCAAGGAGGAGGAGAAGTAGTTTTCAGGTATCAGATTCATATGTTCAATATATTTCTTTGGTGCTTCTACTCGTAATGTAAAATGAGAATAATTATAAAGGATTTGTAATTATAATAGGAATAAAATACCGGGGCATTATATATTGATAGAGATCTGATGGGTTATTTATCTTAATACTAGTATAGTACATACAATATGTAGTAACTAAAAGATGTTGAGATTTCAAACTTGAACTTGCCCTTGTCGGTGACCCCCTTCAATCTCATTTTTGTTTTTCCTGTTTATGCATTTGCACACTTTCCTGATGATCCAACTGATGAAGCGACAAGTATGGACAAGGAAAACTATGAAACTTAGGCCCAAGCATAAGTACACCCATATGCCAATGACAATGGCACGTGCATTGAATTTAGGCCCAAGTATATGTCCTCCCGAATTGGCCGTCATCAAAGAAGAATAACTCATTACCAAGGTTGTTATTGTCACCCACATTGCAACCAGTAGCATCCACCTCACAATTCTATTCTTCAATGGTAACCCACTTACAAGCAAAAGCATTATGGTCAGAGAAGCAACAAAAGATATTGAGTTTGCAATCCAAAATACTTGAAATTCTGTTCTAGTCATATAGGAATTTCCATTTGATTTAAGCCCATCAGGTGGGGTAAGCCCAGATTGGTAAGCCATTCCTGCAATAACAGTTGCGGATATCAACAAGCCATTCCGTTTTCTATTTAACCAATCATCTTTGTTTGTTGGGGGCCTCAACGTGCCATTGACCAGCGAGGGTGGCTGTGATACTAATATTTCCCCATGACCACTACCATGATCACGCAGTTGGTGGCCAATGTGGCCTCCAGCTTGCATAAGCAATCTACTGATTTCCATGGCCTTTAAATCTCTAATTGGCATATGTTCTATGATATCCAATGCCGTGATACCATTTCCATTCACAGCATTCACTTCCACCACAGTTTCTTCCAACAGGTATTTTATGGTCTGCACAAATTACAACAAAGGGATCTCTATATGATGTATCTAATTAATTCTAATTATTCTGCTACAAATTATTAGAAGTATTTCTATTGAAATTTTGATTAGAAGTATGTATAAAAAGCATGGTGTCTACCGTCATTTGTTAAGTAAGGTGTAATTTGATAAAACTCAAAATTAAAAATTGAAAAACATAAAATTAAAGTTATGAAAATTGAATGTTAAATTTTTAAAGTTGAAATGTTATTTGATAAAAATTTAAGTGATGAACTAAAATAAATTATACTTTTTATATAAAGTAGATACTATTACTATATGCATTCCTTTTGTTACTTATAATACAGGGCTGGCCCATGTGCAAGGCCGTTAAGATCATTGTCTTGGGTTCGAAAATAAGAAAGATCTCCAATTTTTAAAAGGTAATTATACGTGGTTCACAGCACAAAATCCACCAATAACTTTAGCCACATGTAAGAGTAAGTAGTAGTAAGAGTAAGTAGTGCCTTCAACCAATTCAGATTGATATGTTCCATATATTTCTTTGGTGCTCCTCCTTGTAATGTAAAATGAGAATAATTATAAAGGATTTGTAATTATAATAGGAATAAAATATCGGGGCGTTACATAGTCTCTCCCATCTCACTTGTGGCTGTCCATGCAGATGTATTTTCCTATTGGAAAAGACAAAAACTAAACCGATTGATAGAGATCTGATGGGTTATTTATCTTAATACTAGTATAGTACATACAATATGTAGTAACTAAAAGATGTTGAGATTTCAAACTTGAACTTGCCCTTGTCGGTGACCACCTTCAATCTCATTTGTGTTTCTCCTGTTTATGCATTTGCACACTTTCCTGATGATCCAAATGATGCAGCGACAAGTGTGGACAAGGAAAACTATGAAAGTTAGGCCCAAGCATAAGTACACCCATATGACAATGACAATGTCACGCGCATTGAAGTAAGGCCAAAGCATAAGTTCTGCCCAATTGGCCGCCATCAAAGTAGAATAAGTGATTACCAAGGTTGTTATTGTCACCCACATTGCAAACAATAACGTCCACCTCACAATTCTATTCTTCAATGTTAACCCACTTACAAGCAAAAGCATTATGGTCAGAGAAGCAACAAAAGTTGTTGTGTTTGCAATCCAAAAAGCTCTTGTGTTTGGAATCTGAAATCCTAGAAAATATGGTGACATTGTTGTAATTGTATCCAGATTGGATTTTACATTTGACTTAAGCCCATCAGGTGGGCTAATCCCAGATTGATAAACCATTCCTGCAATTACAGTTGCGGATATCAACAAGCCATCACGTTTTCTATGTAACCAATCATCTTTCTTTGTTGGGGGCTTCAACGTGCCATTGACCAGCGAGGGTGGCTGTGATGCTAATATTTTACCATGATCACGCAGTTGGTGGCCAATGTGGCCTCCAGCTTGCATAAGCAATTTACTGATTTCCACGGCCTTTAAATCTCTAATTGGCATATGTTCTATGATATCCAAAGCCGTGATACCATTGCCATTCGCAGCATTCACTTCCACCGCAGTTTCTTGCAATAGGTATCTTATGGTCTGCACAAATTAATACAAAGGAATCTATATATGATGTATCTAATTAATTCTAATTGTTTTGCTGCAAATTATTAGAAGTATTTCTATTGAAATTTTGATTAGAAGTATGTATAAAAAGCATGGTGTCTACCGTCATTTGTTAAGTAAGGTGTAATTTGATAAAACTCAAAATTAAAAATTGAAAAACATAAAATTAAAGTTATGAAAATTGAATGTTAAATTTTTAAAGTTGAAATATTATTTGATAAAAATTTAAGTGATGAACTAAAATAAATTATACTTTTTATATCAAGTAAATACTATTACTATATGCATCCCTTTTGTTACTTATAATACAGGGCTGGCCCATGTGCAAGGCCGTTAAGATCATTGTCTTGGGTTCGAAAATAAGAAAGATCTCCAATTTTTAAAAGGTAATTATACGTGGTTCACAGCACAAAATCCACCAATAACTTTAGTCACATGTAAGAGTAAGTAGTCCTTCAACCAATCACAAATATCATGACCTCTCATATTGTTTTCCCATCACCCAACACATAAATGTAGCCCCCACTTTTTCAACCAATGAGAGAAGAGAAAGGTATCACATGACACTTACTCTGTCTACACCCAAAAATTTCTCAAGCAAAAAATTCTTGGGTCCTATTGAGCACAATGAAAACCCATTTATTACAAAGTTAAAAGAAGTGCAAGTTTATAACTTTACTTGTTAAAAGTAACACAAATCTTCTCTCTTAGAATTGTGTGTTATTTTTTAATTTGTTATTTCTATAATTTCTATGTAAGGAAATAAATAAATAAATACAACGAGGAAACAAAATTACTTTATTTTATATGAATTTGACATTGATTAAATCTTAATTGCACCTGCTTTATAAGTAAAGTTTATTTTATTTTATTTATCATATATATAGCTTTATTTATTTTTATAATGATTTTTTTTTATGTGTTAAATTAAGTTATTCTTGATTGTGAACCTATTTTGTATCAGATGATTCACTAATTTGGAGGCAAACAAAGAACAACCATTGTTAAAACTATTTGGACACTTAGAGCATCTCCAACCCACTAGGCATATGATGTTTGTTAGTCAAAATGCCTAATGTGACTCACTTTTTTTAACTCCAATGCACTAGGCATATGATTAGGCATTTTGGCTCATCTCAAATTCACTAGCTACATGTAGCTAGCCTTCAAGGCTAGACAAAATGTATTTAATCATTAAGATTATTTCCCTCCATCTTTGTTGCTGACATGGCATTCTATGAAGTTAATAATATTTGGATGAATAGCTAAAATAAATAGCATGGTTGGAGTAGAAACATGAAAAAATTGACAAGCAAAATAAAAGGTATACTTTATAGTAATATTTAGATAGGTAAAATGCCTACTACCATTGGAGATGCTCTTATAAATCAAATTCTAACAAACTAAAAAACTTGGGTGAGGTGTTTTGTAAAGGATGTTTTCATTCAACAATTTTTAATTTTATTTTTTTTGGATCAGAAAATTAAACAAAAATAACAAATAATAATTAAGAAAACTTTTACCTCCACTTGTTTGAGGTTGGTAGCAATGTGCAAAATAGTGTTGCCATTATCAAGTTTGTCATTTACCCATGTATCCTCAACCGTGCTAAAACTTATCAATAGCTTCAAAACCTCCAAACGATTATATGCTACACACAAGTGCAGAACAGTTTGACCTCGATCCAACTTGAACTTAGCTACTTCTGGTCGTGCCTGAACCAACTGGCTCACCACATCAACTCGGCCTTTCATGGCAGCCACATGAAGAGGAGTCCTTCTGTCTTCATCTCGCACGAGACAAACATTAGGGTTCACCATTAACAACACCTTCACTATCTCTATATACCCATTTGCAGAGGCCAAGTGAAGAGGCGATCGGCCCTTTGAATCTAAATCAGAGACCAAGTCTTTCTTGAGAGTCACAAGAGCTTTTGCAAAATCCAGATGACCTTGCATAGCAACTATGTGAAGAGGATTCTCATCAAAACAAGTGAGTGAAGATCGGGACAGAGTGAGTCTATCTTCTTCAATCAACTTCCTCAAGGACTCAGTATTCCCACTCACTGATGCTTCATAAAGCATATTCTCTCTCATACCTATCTCAGTCTCATGAGTTCCTTCCATTTGTGGTACTTGCTGCTTGCCTTGGTGATAGGAAGTTGAAAACAGTGTCCTCTCTCTTGTGGCTTTGCTTGCTTGCTGTAAGAATTAGTATACTATATATACAACGGAAATAAACGGATTTGGACATATTTTTTATGCTCAAACCAAATTCATGGATTATATGGGTGAATCACGTGTCTTCATTGATGTCTTTGAATATTTCCCAGCAGTGGAGTTGAACTATTAGAGAACTACCCACACTATCCACAATACAAAGGCAGAATGGTTTATGAGAAGAGAGAACGTATAATTTTTGTTGTTTCAAATACAGAGCCCAAGTTCTGTTTATATAAGAGAGTTAAGAAATCCATAAGATAGATGCATTATCCCATATAACATCTATCTCATATCAACAATATCTAATTAATAATTATTATCTAATATATTAACAATTATTCATATCAAGATTATCTCATATCAAGTAAATTATTTTATTTGGATCTCTACTAATCGGGTCATGCCACCATGGGCGACCCAATTGGGTCCGGGTTCTAAACCGAACCCAATTTCTAACATCTCCCACTCGAATATGCGCTGGCATGACACTACGCCTTTTGTATCTCAATCTACCTAATAAACGCAATCATACTAGCCAATGAACCGTACGATCACTGAGAACACCTACATGTGGGAGCTCTACACCAGAAACTCAAAAAGAGCCAGCACAGAGACATCAACCCGAAAATAATATAGTGTCTTATATACCCCAGACCCATCTAATTACACCGGTCCAAAAACCATCTCTAAACCCTCAAAAGAGCATGTTTGACCCTCTCAATTCGTGCAATATATTCACACTCAATCCGCCTCTCATACAGAGCGATGTGAGTTGCCGGCAGTGAATTTATAATAGTGGTGTAATACTAGATGATCTTTCTTTCTCCCTCATGCCATTTAGTTTAGGGTTGACCTCTTTCCTAGTGATGTCCCTTAAGGCCGAATTATACATGATCGCAGACAACATACCAAAGTAGCATAACATCAACCCCTTATCTTATAACATAGTCAAAGGTCACAAAAGGGTACATAAGTAAAAATCATATCAATAATGACACGTAAGACTCACACGGAGAGGAAACAATGATCCATTCTCTCACCTCATTACTCGGTCGCCAAACACATGTAGTATGAATACATGCTATAGTGGAGTAATTCTTCCAAAGAGTGACATCATACTTGATACACCGTACATATCTTAGTCTAGTCGCTTTCTAGTGCCTAACCCGAATCCTCTATTTGCTTCTCTTCCAAGCGCCAAATGAGATCTCACATCTGACTAATCATAATAGGCAAAACATGGAAAGTGGGTACTAACATCCATGTTGGGTCTTTAACACGACTTCATCTTGGTTACAACTAAGGCGACA